CCTGGACATGTTTGAATTTGTGTATCCCTATCCCCCAGCAATCTTAGTTTAAAGCCCTGTCTTGAAGATCAGGCATCCTGGCCATGAACAGGGCCTTACCTTTCCTCATGAGGTAGATGCCTTCCCTTCCCAGGAGTCCTCTCTCCCTGAAGTGCGCACTGTGGTCAAGAAATCCAAAGCCTTCTTGGTGGCACCAGCATTGGAGTCACCCGTTCACTTCCTCGATGCATTCTTCCTTTCTGGGACCATGACCTGCAACAGGGAGCACAGAAGAAAAGACTATCTGCACCCCCAACCCCTTGTGCCCATCCCCCAGATCCCTGTATTTGCTCAAGACCGGGTCTGGATTACTCCTGGCTGTGTTGTTAGTTCCCACATGGATGAGGAGCATGGGGTAGTAGTCAGAGGGATGAACAAGCCTGAGGATCATCCCTGCTACATCTCAGATGTGAGCCCATGGGAGGCAGCAGACCTCACAGGCTAGGGAGTCTGGACAGCTGATGGGCCCCACAAAGCCCTGCAGGAGGGAGTCCCTGACCACCACCACTGTGTGCCTCCTCTTAGGGGTGGCAGCAAGCTGCTTACCTTCCTTCTCTTCAGGTGTCACCATTGGAGCCTCCTCATGTATGGGGAAGGGAGTGTACCTGTTGTGCAGGGCCAAGGGAGGAGCAGCTCTGGTCCTGCATTTCCTGGGATGTGAGGTGACTGTCTGTCAGGTTGCTCCGGGTGGGTCTTCTTGGTTAGCTATCATGCTGGCCACCATCTCTGTCTCTTTCTCTTCTTCCTTCTTCTGGAAAAGGGTCTGGCAGTAGCCATCGTTGAAGTTGTCATGGGCCTTGATGGTGTGCAGCTGACAAATCTCCTCCTCGAGCTCCTCAACCCAAACCTCCAGAGACTCCACAAGGGAGCACACCCCACAAGTGGGGGTGCCCCTGTGCCCAGTTGCCAGCAGCCATGCCAGGCAGCCCTCACAGGCTGGGGCCACAGGGTGATGCCACTGAGATACCACTGATACCACCTGCGGGTATGATGAGTCACTGCAATGGCCGAGAGTGATTGTATGGTAACAGTCTATGCTATTACCTGTGAACTGACTTGAGGACTGCCTGCAAACTGCTTCCCCTGTTTGTAGTCCCTGTTTGCTGAGCTCCCTGGTCACAGACTTCCTGGTCACCTAGGGAATCTCCTTTTATACCCTTCTGGGCCTAGGCTGACTGAGCCCCATTGTTAGGTTTCTGTCAGGACCAGGCAGCAATCACACAGCTGTCAACAATCCCACATCTATCAACAATCAGCAATCCTCTAGCCAGGCTGAAGAGATTAATTGGGAAACAAGACTTCATATCAGAAGAGATCCCAGGGTCTTTCACAGAAATATATGCACCAGATGTTCCAGTTAGAGGTGAAGGAGAAAGTAAAAACTAAATTGTATTAATATGTAAGTAACTGATGTGTCTGCTGTGTTTGCTAAGATCATGAGATACTAAGGGTCTGATTCTACTTCACGTTTTAGACAGATAAGTATACTTAGGAACCTGATGTGAGATTTTAATTTCACCTTGCTTGAGTGACTGAAAAGCAGATAATACAAAAGATGAGCAAGTCTTCCTCCTTCTGTCCTCTGTGCCTTTTTGTGATTCAGTCTCAAAGGTAAGGTGACAGTGTGTTATACAAGTAGATGCATTAATGCATTTTCAGGATTTGAACAGAATGGAATAGTTTCTCACTTAGTCACCTACAACCACTTGGATACATAAAAGGTGGAATAGAATCCTGCCCTTAAATACTACTGCTAATGTCCATTCTCCATCAACTGGTTATAACATGTGCAGATGCTTCTTCTAAAACATTGCCTGGCAAAGTGCAGCCCCACAGGCTAAAAAATTCTGGGTGTCAGGTGGAGCATTCAAAGCAAGTGAGAGAGTCTATTTTTAAAAAAAGTAGAATATATATCCAAGAAGAGGTACCATTAAGTTAATAAGTTTCATTTGCATTTGTAAAGGTTGTTTTCTTGTGACTTCTTTAAGTCCGTGTTAAGTTAAATTTAAGTTAAGAATTAAGAATTAAGTTAGACTTTAAGTCAGAATTAAACTTTTTTCTTAATGTCTAAGTACCAGTGTGTTACCCTTTCATTAAAAAAGCAGCTGTATAATTATCTTTTGAGACATGAATCATCTTGGCTCTCAGTACATGGCCCTAAATGAGTCTATAAAAGAAACTCAGGGTCACTGACTAGTCTTATCAAACCATCTTTTGTATTTTGAAAGAAATGGAGATACTTCATGTCTTTTGTCCTTCTTTACTTCTGATAACAGTTATGAAATGTTCTGCAGCAGCCCCAGCAATGTATGCATTGCTGAAGACATCCAACTGGAGAGATTTTCATATTGCACAGGTTAGTAAAACCTGCACTCATTGTGGGAGATGATGTTAGTAAAATTATATAGATAGAAAGAAATAGGGGGAAATCCCATCATTTGTTATTATCTCCCTGGCAGCTAGCTGTACTTGGACACTATACTACCATAATTCATTGTATATGGTGTCTTTAGTAACTGAGTGATTCTTATGTACTTATTTTTTCTTACTAGGTTTTTATGGGTTTACCTATAGTTACAAGTAATTATTTGATGTTAGCTTTTTCTGTTATTATTTTGCATTGTAGCTTGGATATGGAAGCCTTCTTTCACCTTATACAGTCACCTCTACTTACCTTCTCAGAAAGACAATCAAGTGCTCTGTCTCTCCCAACCAAGGAAAGCAAAAAAAAATAGTTATGCCACTACCGTACTCTCCACCATGCCTCCCGGTGCGTGTATCTACACAAGATACTTAATGTGCAGTAGACTAATTCCACTGTGCATTAGCTCATCACTGCAAAAGCCATGCTAATGCACTAATGCACAGTAGAAATAGTCTGCTGCACATTAAGCATCACAAAAAGATGATGTACGTTTGCTACTGCACAATAGCACTGGCTACTGTGCATTTAGTTAGCACCTCATATTAGAGATACTAAACTTAATGTGCAGTAGCAATAGCACGATAAAGCACATGTAGATGTGCCCACTGGTGCTACATCCACTTGCAAAATGGTGGCCATGCACTTTTGAACTAAAACACTTCAGAGGTGCTTTAGCTCAAAAGCACACTGCAACTATTTTCTGTGCATTGATGCATGTATTGTTGCTTATACAACTGCATGCAGAGCAGCACAGTTCACCTCAGCTCATGTGCGGAGCAGTGGATCTCCAGCACATCGTGGGGAAAATAGTATGTGTATAAATGCCCAAGAGTTCTAAAATCCATTTAAAGAAAATATTTTCTCTATAGTTTCTTTCTTGAATTATTCAACAGTCACAACTAAATTTGGGTTTGGATAAATCTCACACCCTATACCCCACATTGCATCTGTATACCTGGGAGAAGAATTTTGTCCAAAATAAGTATTGATCATCACAATGTTTAGAGAACAGAAGATATATAGAAGGATGGCTGGGTGGAAAAAAAAATCAGTCTCCTAGCAACTTACAGTGTATGATATTGGATATAACTTAAGAATCTGTTTTCTCCATGCTAACACATCAGTGCTGATTTGCAAGGAAACATGAGTCACTGACTATGAATACAACTTGGTAGTTTGAACCCTACTAGTCTTTCATTGATACGATTGTAAATTGGAGTAACTCTAGTTAAGTCAATGGAATAATAGCAGCATAACCACAGTGTAAAGTATAAGTTCTTCTAGGCTTAATATACAGAATAAGAGCATACTACTGCTCACAGAGCTTTAAAATCAAAGCTATATTTTGAAAACTAGCTTGAACAATTTTGCCATACAGCATGTAGTTTACTAAATTCTATTAGTATATATTGGACCCCTTGGCATGTTTTATTTCATGTCAAAATATTCTTGTAAATGGTTTTTAACAAATATTCCAAATTAATTAAAGATAAAGAAAGCAAATGTAACATATTTTAAATAGATGTCATGTTTATGATATATATCTCAATTGTGAAATAAAGTCAAATTCAAAACTCTCACTTTTGTAATATGTGAATATATTTATTCTCAGTATAATAGTAGTATCTATCAGCTCCAACTGAGATCGGTGTCCTATTCTGCTAAGCTCTGTACAGGCCATTTATGAGGAAAATTTTTTCTTGCTTCATAGAGCTTCAAGTCTAAATAAACATGATGAAGAAAAGTGAAATGACATTCCCAACATCATGTAGAAGTAATAGCAATAGTAGTAGAATGGGAAGTGGAATTCAAGTTCTCTTTATTTCCATACCACACAAAAATAATATAGGGAAAGTCTTATAGCTGCATGGAAAAGACGTATCGATCCATCTTCCTGCAAAACTGTTCCCCATTGTACATGTACTAATATTTTGTCTCATCTATTTGTCTTATCATGATATGTTAGCTCACATATTTGAAGTCTAATTTTGCTGTTTTCTGTGTGTTTGATAGTTTCATAGTTTTCATAGGCTTGGAAGGGACCTGAGCAGATCATGAAGTCCAACCCCCTGCCATGGGCAGGAATAAATGCTGGGATCAAATGACCCCAGCTAGGTGATTATCTTAGCCTCCTTTTTCAAATACGTATTTACTGCTGTTTGCAGTAGCTTTTATTTTACTGGTCACCTGCAATTTTTTTCCATGATCTTTATCCTCTTCTAGATCATACACTTGTACAGACATCCACTACCACACCTTCAAACAATTTTGTTTACAGGAAAAATAAAGGCTGAATAGTAATTACCTGAAACAGTAATTACTTGGTGGACTAGGAGCTAAATTATAGTTTACACTTCCCCTTCTGAATCAAATCTGACTTGCTTTAGAATAAAATGATGTAAATAAGGAAAGCAGGACATGATTACATGTCCATATGAATACTCATTTTGATTAGTAGTTCAATTAACACTAATTTGATTAATTTTGATTTACCTTAATTTTGATAAAATACTGTTTGTGTCCAACCGAAGCATAGAAAAGTGATACAATGCACAATAGGTGACTAAAATTTATGAAACTCAAATTGAGGCAAAAAGAAATTACCAGCTGCTCAATAATTTCTTCAGTCTTGGTCTAGTGTCAATGATAATCTTAATAATTACAGTACATTGCTAATTACAGAATCATAAAAAAGACATAACTAAAACATCGTGCAGAATAGTTTTGTGTCTTTGAGCTTTTTATAAATTTCTTATAGGTTACTTCAGTTTTACTGATTGTATTGCTTTGTAACAAGACAGAGTTGGTGAAATAGAGCTGGTGAAAACCGCAATTCCTGTCTCTCAAAACTTCCAATATTTCAAGATTGATTTCATGCGGAATTGATCCCCCTCCAAAATCAATATTTTTTTATTGAACAGAATAATTTGTTCAGCTACATGGAAATCAGAAGTGTTAAATGGCACTCCTAGAGGAACTGGAAATTAGAGGGCAGGGCAAGCAGGTGCAGGGCTTACTGCTAAAATCTGGGATACAAAGCCCTGTCAGGGATGCCTGTTGACAATGGGAAAGAGCAACAGCTGCATTAATTTGCTGTGGCTCCCTGACACCATTGTGTCCAGATCTGTCCCAGTACAGCTCTCCAGTCCAGATCCAGCCCCGCAGGACCTCTGAAGTCAAGATCCTGGGGAGCCTTTCCTGGAGAAAGTAATTTGAATGTTTTATATTCCCATATTCTTTTTCGGCTAGGGTCCGTCACTGGTTGAAGTACATGGCACACAATTCCCTTCTGGCCATGAGACTTCCATTATATACTGCAGCACCTACATTGAACACCTTCAAGAGTAAATTGGATGCTTATCTTGCTGGGATCCTATGACCCCAGCTGACTTCCTGCCCTTCAGGCAGGGGGCTGGACTCAATGATCTTCCAAGGTCCCTTCCAGCCCTTGTCTATGAAATCAGATATCAGGGACTCATGGAAGATGCATCCATCCAAAAAGTCCAATCTGTGAAGGAAAATCAGGGCATGAGGCATCCACTTACAACTCCCAGGAGCCACCACAGTCACCAAGGCAAACAGAGACTGATGCTGAACAAACCAAAATGAAACAGAAGTATTAAGGCAAACCAGAATGTGTCAGTTCAACCCAAAACAAAATATTTTGCTTAGATTTTCCCAGTGGAAGTTGGGGGAAAAAAATCAAATGGAAAGTTTCAATTTTTCAGAAACTGCACTAACATATTGCACTGCTCAAAGCAACCTGTGATTCTGAAACACATCCTGAGAGGGAGAGGGAGCCAGTCACTTCTATGGCTGTCCCAAAACAGATCATTCCTACTAGGGCTGTGCAAAACAGCACCGTTTAGTTTCAACTTCTGTTCTGCCTTTTCAATGGGACAGTGTTTCATTTCAAGTTTCCTTTTGTTTCAAAAGCACTGTTCCATTTCATTTTGTCGAAACTGTTTCACTGTCTCAGCGCTGTTTTGACATTTCACCCATAGGCTATAAAGGGGAAGCATGAAACTGCCTATAACTTTGTCATTTCTCGCCTGATTTGGTGCAGGGGTTTCTTGGAAACTTCACCTCAAAGTCTTGAAAGCAAAACTCGTGTCATGTGTGTGTGTTAAGGCACAGTGGGTTGAAAACTGCAGGGATGGTAGCCCCTGCTGAGGCCATGAAACCTGACAACTTTCAAGGAGATAGGTGCAGGGGTTTCTGGGAATCTGCACCTCAAAATGTTCAAAGCAAAACTTGTATCACTTGTAAGTGTGAAGGCACAGAGAAAGCTCAGTTCAAGCAATGCTTTTTGTGCTGTTTTTCCATCTCTCCCCCAGACCACTGGGATTGGAAGGGACCTCAGGGAAGAATCATAGTCACTGGCCAGATAGAGATGTCAGTATCAGAGCAGTCCTTCCCCTGTCTTCCCCCTCCCTCTCCTTAGTTTCTCTTTAGCTGCAAGCAAGCCCAGCTTCAAAATTTGAAACATTTCAAAACTTTCAAAACATTTCAACTGTCCTCGTTTTGGTTTGAGGCTGTTTCAAGCCTTTCATTTCATTTCAATTTTGCTGTTTCAAGCTCAAAATGAGTCAAAACCTTGTCAAAACGAAACAACCGGCAAAATTTCACACAGCTCTAATTCCTACATCCTAAATGATCTGAAAGAAATAATGAAATGGGCAAGTTAAGATATATATCCAAGAAAAGTCTCTATATTAAGGAATCTGATCTGGCAAGATGAGCTCACTGATAAACGTACAGCTACTTTTAATCTATGGCTTGATTTCAAGGCTCCTTGTGCTGATACTTCTACAGTGGGGCTGCCATATATTCATAGAATCATAGAATCATAGAAGTAGGGTCGGAAGGGACCTTGTAGATCTTCAAGTCCAACCCCCTGCCTGGGCGGGAGAAAAAACTGGACTCAAATGAGTCCAGCCAGGTAGGCATCAAGCCTCTTCTTAAAGATCTCCGGGGTAGGAGCCAGCACCACTTCCCTAGGAAGTTGATTCCAGCTCCTAGCTGCCCTAACTGTGAAGTAGTTCTTGCAGATGTCTAATCTAAACCTACTCTCCAATTATTTGTGTCCATTGTTCCTTGTCATGCCAGGGGGCACTAGGGGAAACAATGTCTCCCCCAAATGCTTCTGGTCCCCCCTAGTGAGTTTATAGACAGTCACCAGGTCCCTGCCATCCCAGTATTAGTCCTGTCTAAAATATGCATTTCATTTATAAATCAGCATTGCAATTATCAGACTTAATTGTTATAGTATAATAATATCATCAATAGATGTAGAATGAGTGTTACACAGAGCTGTTCTTGACTCACTCTTCTCACTCTTAGGAATATCTTGACAAGTATTATACACAGAAAGGAAGACACCAGGTTGGGGAGATGGCAACAGGTGGCAGTTCCATAACAAGGAAAATTAGAGAAATGCAAGCATTCTTTGGTCTTCAGGCTACCGGGAACTTGGACTATAACACTATAAGTGTAATGAAGAGGCCACGCTGTGGTGTCCCTGATATGGCAAACTACCGCCTGTTTCCAGGAGAGCCCAAATGGAAAAAAAATACATTGACCTACAGGTAATGTGTTTGAGTCTTTTTGGTTGGACTTTTGTTTTGGTGGGTTTTTTAAAGGTATTCTGAAATGTTCCTCTTTGTACTTTGCATTTTTTGTCTCGTGTACTCTGCAAACAACATTTGTAATGAACTCTATAGGATTTTTTCTGTGAATGCACAGGGTATCAAAGAAATCACAGGAATAATGTATAATAAATATGCACCGTGCAAACCCATTGCAGGATTCTTAACCTCGTTTTCTCTTGTTTTTGCTTTATAAAATCAAAAAGAAATTAAATTTACAGCCTCAGTTCACAAAATGAGACAATTTTATTACACACTGGTCGAGTCTGCACAAGACACTGACTGCACAGTAGCTCATGACTACTGCGCAGTAGCATCACATGGTAGGAAGCGTGATGCATTGCTACTCCACAGTAGTCCCAAGCTACTGCACAGTCAGCATCACAAAAAAGCCGTTTCTCAGTGCAACTGTGCAGTAACTCTGATTACTGTGCAGTAACAACTGCATAGTCAGCATCTCATGTAGATGCAGCCATGGATTTCTATGACAGTTCTGACATAACCTATCCATGACCAAGTTTTAGACAACCCCAGAGTCCTGGCTGCTATTACAAGATATTACCAGTAGGTGCCAGCAACCACATACTACAACAGTCCTACTAGTGCCAAAGTGAACTCAATTACGTCTCCCACAAGCAGTAAACAAGATGAATTAGATTTAAGGATTGCAGAGAATATCAACTGGATTCTTTAAAGAAGGTGACCCTTAGTTGGCTTTCTTTTATGACACGTCCCACCATTATGGTCCACCCATCAGTGAACAGACTTTTACATTTGTCCAGTGTCTGGTGGGCTTTGATCCTGATTCATGATTCCAAGGCACTCTATACTTATAATAAACAGAATACAGTGCTATACAGTACTAATAATAACAGAAAATGTGAAATAAAAATATTGGTGTATATCATTTGAAATAAATATAATTTGATCAAATCTGGCTCCCTATCTGTTCATATATATCTATTCACATATATATTTAAAAATTCAGCAAGCTGAATATCTCACACAGCCTTCATTCACAAAGGGAAATGAATCTAGAATGCTGCAGTACTGAGCCTGAACATTAAGATCTTATGCTATATTGATATATGGGCAGGATCATAAAAACATCAGTATAAACAATAAAACAGCGGAGTTAATGTTATGCAACTTTCTCCTGCATGTTTCACAACTTTTTGTCCATCTATTCAGGCTTACTGCAGAGCAGAATTTTGCATACAATTGCTTTGATGTTTATCAAAGAAAAAATAAATTACCTGTGGCAAAAAGGTTCATGTCAAAATTGTCTCAGTTGCTCACCATTGCTCATAGCTCACTGAGAAGATCTGCAAGGAGAAGCCATGAGTTTGCAGTGGCTGGGTTTATATTTTGTCAGGTATTGATACACACTAAGGATGGGCAAACAGGGCACGTCTACATGTTCATTAATGTGCAGTAGTTACTGCGCATTTTGTTTGGTACTTGCCTAATAAAGTCATAACTTGATGTGCCGTAACTACATTCACTGCACAACAGTGCCAGCACACAGTTATTTTGTGATACTTACTGTGCAGTAGCTTAATAACACTGTGCAGTGGCATATTAGCATGGGTTTTGATCAGCATGCTACTGTGCAGTGTTATTAAGCTACTGTGCAGTAAGCGTCTGGTGTAGATGCACCCACAGAAAAGTAGCTGTAGACTTACACAGTGAAGGGTCTGTCTTTCAAAACAGAAAAAGTGGAAAATTCAAAGAAACTTATTCTCATACTATTTTTAAACTACTACTTATGTTAGACTTATGTTAATGACAAGAAACTTGTACCAGCATTTTTTTTATTTTTAAGTGCAATTTGACTTGTAGAATTCAGTAAGAACATAGCAAAAAATTAGAAAGTCCCCACATTTTCCTCACATACATGATTTTCCCTTCTCTCTGTTTGCTTGAAAACATTTTACTTGGCTTTGTTTTCAGCTTGGGATGGGGGAGGGAATTTGGCCATATAAATGATTCTTCTAGACAATTCCCCCACTGATACATATGACTGCCAGGCTGGACATGAAGGATGCACTGTCATCCCAAAGGGGGCAGTGAAACATCAGGCTAAAGTAAAAACTTAGCAAATTCCTATCCAGTTCAAAACTGATTTTATTCCATTCTCAAAATTCATTTTATTCCTTTCTCCTCAACCTGCACCATGCACAAAACATGACTCTTCTATAAAGACTGTGTCCAGGACAATTTTGCTTCACCTTTGTGCAAAACATGTACTTAAGGTGGGGGGGGGACTCCAAGCAATAAGTAAAACATTTTCTTTACTATTCTGTATGTCAAAAATTAATACTAGAAACTTGGGTGAAGAAATCAACCATAAAACATTTTAATTTGGACACTAAAGGGTGACATTCTATTACCATTTGTTGGTCAAGATGTTATTGCCATATGGTCATCTAGGTCAGTGGTCTCCAAACGTTTTTGATCGTGCACCCCTATCAGTAAATAATTTTGAGCACGCACCCCCAATATATGTATATTTATTTATTTATAATTTATATACATGTACTACTCGCGTACTGTACGTGACCTGTGACTGTCTGACATACGGACCGAGTGAGGGTGCCATTGTCAATCCGTATATTAAATATTAGTAAAGCTTAATTTCTTTCTTACTTTTTTAGATAAAAAATAAATATAAATAGAAGTTCTAATATTTTCTTCCCGCACCCCAATGGATCGTCTTACACACCCTCTGGGGTGCATGCACCCCACTTTGGAGACCACTAGTCTAGGTCATTAGGCCATGCGGCCACATCAACAATCAAATGCCCTGAGGCACACCAGGAGGCTAATATTACTCTCAGTTAATTAAACTCAAAACGTAGTATATTGATAATAAATTCAAAACTTATTGTACTAAAGACAAATGCATGTACTCATGTTAGGATTTTCCACCCTTCTAAAATAATGCTAAATATTCTTGACTGTCTCTTTCAGGAGGATTGTCCAGAGCCAAGGAGCTGCATTAATATATTTATTATTCTTATAGAGTATCCAAATACACTTCCAGTTTGAGTCATGCAGAGGTGGATAAGGCAGTAGAGATGGGGTTAAAAGCATGGAGTAATGCAGCCCCTTTGGACTTTGTGAGAGCAAACACAGAAGAAGCAGATATTATGATATCATTTGAAACTGGAGGTAACTATTCAACCCGCCGCCATTATGGTGAACATCAAAGATGTCCCATTGTTCTTGTTGAAGATCAAGCACTTTTGCCCCCCTAAGATAAAATGGGTAAAACGTTGAAAATCATTAGTTATTTGATTGAAATGTATACTTTTTTCATGGTAGAACTAGAACCTAAATTAGTTATTCTGTGATGCCATTTTACCTCTATCTCACAGTGTACTATGTGAACATAACACCTGCAGTAGAATGGATACCTGCGGCCTCTCTAAATGTGTTGTTCATCCTCTTATTGGAAGCAGATTAATACTCCCTTTCCTGGGGATGTTCTCTAGCCCTTATTTAGACCCATGCTTGTGAAAAAGAACTTTGTCATTACTGCCTCTGATTGGCATCATATGAATAGCATTGCATTTTCATTTTCAGAAAAATGGAAGTGCTTTGCTTCCTCATTAGTAAATTATGCATTTATGAAATCACTGTGAATTTCCTACTATGCTCTTTTACTGTTTGCTAGATCATGGTGACTCCTACCCATTTGATGGCCCACGTGGGACTCTGGCACATGCTTTTGCACCTGGTGAAGGATTAGGCGGGGACACTCATTTTGACAATGCAGAGAAGTGGACAATGGGAACAAATGGTAATGTGTAGTGAATGTTGAAATAGTAAAGATATAGTATACATACATATACATATATAGAAATCAACATACAGTAAATGTTGAAGACATGAAGTATGGAAAAATCCTTCTTCATCATAGATAAACAAATCATCTTTTCACTGACAGAGCTGAGAAACAAGCATAACCCAACAACAAAATAAAGACTATCAGAATATTTTAAGATATAAATGGACAAAAGGAGAAATTAAGTTATTTTTGTTGAATTTTAAGTTAGACTCTGAACCTGTAGATAGCAGTATACTTTCTCGACACTCTAATAGACAGGGTTGAAAATCCACCATAAATATTCATTTGGGGTTAAAAACCAAGAGAATGTATTAACTTGGTATAAATCAAAGCAAGTATGTACAAACACATTTAAAAGTTGAAAGAGTCAAATTTCATTCTTCCAAATCTGAAGTAACTCAGCTTCCCCAGGATCTTATTTCTGACAAACAAATGTGGAAATAAGAATGCAATTTAGTCCATCACAGTTTGTGACAATGGTTAATATGAACTATGCGTATGTTTGCTGCTGTGTCTTTACCCAGGAGGCTGTCATTTAGCCATGTGTATATAGAGTTACAGCAAGATAGTCACTGAAGTCAATAGTCATCACTTGTTTAATGATTGTTAATCATCAGGTACTTAAAGAGCTTTGGTGGATCATAGCCAGACTGCTCAGCAACTTGCAGACATGGGTAAAATTTCCAAAAGGACCCTCGGGATTGTGTGTGTTTGACCCATGCCTTCTGCTGCCCTCTCACAGCCAATGAGCTTACTTCATTTTCCTCTTCTCTGTCACTAATCAATCACTGTTCTCTGCCTGCAAGCTTGTCAGTGCCATTTTGCTTCTCCATCTGTCTTTAACAATATCCCTCTTCCAGGATAACACCAGCTGACCTCCCTGAATCTAAACCCAGCACCTGACATTTGATAAGTGAAATCAGACTCACCCACCCCTCTGTGTTCTGGCCCTGAGACCCTGATGAAGCAGTTGAAGTCTGATTTTCATCAGCCCCTGATGGCTTCTGTAACAGAGACCTTGGGCCTCTCTGTTCTTCTAAGGGAGAAGTAGGCCAGCGAGGGAGCAATGCAAGCCAGGCAGGGCTGAGCACCTGCAAGCACCTGCAGGCAGCCCTGGAGTAGTCTGCTGACCAGAAAGGGGGCAGGGCCCTGGCAGGATATAAGCCTGGGGCTTGGGCTGGCAGGGTAGTCTAACCCTGCAAGTCACGCAGTTAGGAGCTGATGCCCAGAAGAGATACCCAGAGACACTAGACTGACTGCTTTGGTGCCTGTAGGAACAGCAAGGCTCAGGGTGGAAGATATGCCAGCACAAGGGATGAGCACAGGTTTTCCATCTTAAAGAGGCAGAGGGCTGCTTCCCCTTTATGGTTATGTTATATCCAGGGGCTCAGTGTTTGTATTAATGTTATACCAGCAGTTTGGGTTGGGACTGCAGGGGGTGGGGGTATACAGAGGTCCCATTGGTATCTGTGAGGATGATGAAATCATTGAATCATTGAAAATGAGAACCTGATGGTGTTTAACACCAAAAAATGCAAGGTTCTCCACCTTGGGAAGAAAAGCGTGCAGCACCTTATAGGCTCGGCAGTGCTACGCTGGCTAGCACTACGGAAGAAAGATTCTTGGGGGTCACCA